GACTAGGCCCCAAGAGAGAGAGAGAGAGAGAGAGAGAAACCAAACTGCAACTGGACATCAACAATAGAAGCAACTATTTGTAAATAAGTTTAACTCACAGCTTAACGCACTAGCCATATTTGCCGGTGGGCCCGGCAATAAAAAGGGGGTCTCCTATTAAGAGTTATGTTCAATCCAAAGGGTACCGCCAACTATCTCATCCCACTATGCACGGCAAGTGTATTTTTGCAGCAGCCATTAAGCATACAGCGAATCTCGTTCGCGCAAACATAAGGTTACGTGCACAAACAAAAGGTATAATTCGATGGTATGGTTCGGGTACAATTTGGGGTATGGTTCGGAAGCCAGATTTTTCTGCCGTAGAAATAGTAATTCTAACAGTAAGTGGGTGGCTTGCTATTCTTGAGTTAGACCCTTTTGGGACCCCTTGGCTTTTAAACGGGAAACCAAAAGATACCCGTCGCCATTTTTTGCTTGGGGGGTCTGATTCCTATCTCGAGACAGCCAGAGGCATTCGCAAGTGAGCCGGGCATTCCGAATCCCGTCTTAGGGGTCCGCAAGTGCTTCAAAGCTTACATTGGGAGCTAGACCAGCGGCCGGGGCAAAAAAGGAAGCCTCCAAAACACAATGCAAGGATGTAGTGCCCACATTGCTGGGTCATTCTGCAGAATAACCTGGAACCCAACCTTTTGGAACCTTGACTAGATATGGAAACCAAAAGGTACATGGTTCGGCTTTGGGGCTTTGGGCAAGTGAGATCAGCTTTTGGCCGCACAAGGGCAAACGAAGGAATGGAAGCCTCTTCCTGCCTCCTCCGACATGTACTGCAGGATGATCTGGCACCGCAGGTTCGGATGCCCAACCTGCGTCCGATCTGCTGACAGATTGGCCCCAGTGGTGGGCGAATTCGTTCACTTTAAGGGGGTGAGTCCTCTGCTTAATATAGTCCTCTGCATTCATCCAAAGTTCACAGTGCCCTCAAATCGACATGGAGCCCCAAAAGCCCTGCCAACAAAGATTCCTCCAAACATGAGGGCATTGGGGGAGCCTGTTCTTGGGAGTCTAATGGTTGAACATGCTTAACAAGTTTGTCTTGGAGAAACTGATCAAGCCAGAGCAGAGAAGATGCCCCTGCGATGCGGTTTTCTTGGTGGCGTGCAGAAGATTGCAACAAAGACTAAGTAACTTAAGTGGCGCTGTGGTGAGTACTATCATCCAAAGCATGGCATAATAATGTATTTGGGCCTGATATGACCTCTAGATTTTTTGAGCTCATCAAAAACAACGCCTCGGGGTGGGATCCCTCCATGTGAAGTATTTTGTCCAAACCTATTGGGAAGAAAACAAACCAACAGATCCCCCCCCCTTTCCCCCCGGCTCGTACCCGCTTACCCCCCGCTTGTGAAACCTTGTCCGAGTCGCCCCACAGCCATGCTGATGGGTCCACTCCACGTAGAGCTCCGAGCCCTGGTAGAACTTCATGGTTCCCTTGGTAGCCCCTGGCAGACATTTGCTCGGTGCCCCGAACGCCGTAAGCCATTTCTTTTGCAGAAGGGGCACCTATACGGGCCCTGGTTTGTCCTGTTTATGGGAATGCATATTATGGGAATGCACTTTTTCTTAGTTTTTGGGATGAGTTCTTTTATGGGAATGACCCCGATGTGAACCATCCAACTGGTAATGTCCTTAAAAGGTTCATTCCATTTCTCCTTCCCTACCTATCACACCGGCAAGTTGAGGCGCCGAGCAAACCATTTCTTTTTATGGGCTGGTTGGATTTGTTTTTTCGCGAGGGCACTAAGTAAAAGAAACCCACCCACTTTGGTTCCCATGCCGATTTTGAGACAAACCCTTATCCCCCCTCTTCTTTGTTCGGAGGCCAAAGGTCAACGCTTTTGGAGTTTGAAGGGAAACCGAAAAGGAGACCAGTCATTGGGATTGCGCAAGTTCGGCTGTGCTCTCTGCGAAGCAGTAGCTTGGGTTGTGTAAAGAAGGAATCCACTGGCTTGGCTTGTCCAAACTCCATTTGCTTAAGCCTCCTGGATAATAACTAAATGCCTATTCCCAGCAGTGATGAATTCCCTTCAAAACGACTTGGGGAAAATCAAACAGAAGCAACTAGAGGAGATGAGCACTTCCGCCTTCCACGGTGACGTCGTAGTTGTTGTCCCCATCCTTACACGCCGGCTTGCAGTCGTCCCCAATTTGATAACCCGCCGCCGCGTTGTTCTGGGAGTCGAAGAGCCGATTGGCATTCTGCACCTGCGAAGCGATTTGATTGCGAGATGGGAAGTTGCAAAGTGCCCAAGCTGTTCAACGGCGTACTGTGCCAAATTGGGGGCCCAGAAGATGGCGGTCCCTTTGGTTTCCGTGCAAACCAAGCTGAGATTGGTGCCCAGTTTCCCAGTGACCTTTTTTTCAATGAGGCTCTGGAATCCTCAGAAGGGCGAGCTTAAAGGTTTGTTTGCCCCTTGCGAGGAATTGAACCGTGGGATTACTTTTTGAGTTCTCTAGGCAGTTGACTACCAGCCACCAAGCCACCCAAGAAACATTATCATCTATCCCTCAGGCAATCGAGGCTTCCAGTTCTCACAACTGGGAACCGTCGCTTGAAACAAAAACCTCACCACGTTTTCTTGAGCACCAGCAAGTCCTCGGGGGGGGGGGGGGGACCTGCTCCCCAAACGAGCTCCATGCTTCTTTGTTCGCAAACCCCGCCCCAAAAAAAAAAAAAAAAAAAACGAGCTGCCAAAACAAAAGGAAAGCAACCCCCCACCAGCTCATTGCTCGCTCCCTCGCTCCCTCGCAAATTCGCTCCCCGAGGCGCGTTGTTGCTCTGCTCGCGGAGCTTGTTGTTGGATCCGCGGGGGCTGTTCAAGTACATGTCGGCCGCTGAGAGCCAAGGCGCTGCCTCAGCCGCAACGTTCGGGCGCAACGCGCGTCGTCTTGGCTTCCCTTGTAACAAAGCCGCAAAAAAACGGCGGAGGGGGGGTGTCCAACAAAAAGACAAACCCAAATAGGAGGAAGCTGAAAAAAGAATGGATCGTTTGGAATCAGGTGCCATGGTTCGTCTTGGGAGGAAACAAGTCTAGTGACTCTGGTAACGGAACCATTTCGAGTTGACCGTAAGAGAGGAACCCACCGAACAAGGAAGGCTGGAAAGCATGGAACAGCTGTTTCTTAGAGCCCGCTTTGGTCGGGACACCAAAAGGAAAGCATTCAAATGGCGATCTGGGAGCCCAAACAGGGTTCCAGTATTTGACAACCCCAAAGTGGACTCAAACCCAGGGGTGGTTGATTTCCCCAAAAGGAAAACCCCTGCGTTTAATTCTACCTTGGGGTAGTTTAAAAAAAAAAGAGAAAAAACACGGAACCTTGAGCCCAAACAGACATGTCCAAAGCAAATGGCAAAGCAAAAAGTTCAGGGCTAAGTGAGGCAATGCTGCAAGCAGCACCATAATTTTCACGGCGTTGGCCATGTGAACCATGTTAAGCAGGCGGGTGCTGCGATAAAGAGTGGCGATTTCCAGCTGCGGTCTTGACCCAAAAATGGCTGCTTGCGCAGGCGAGGCAACCACACAACTGGCACCCTGTTCCGTTTTGGACCTTGTGACTCGAACACGTGTCCAAGTGCGAAGGCGGGAAATCCCACCAATTGAGTCGAATCGCGTGGCGGCACCATGCGGGAACCTGAAGCTGGACATCTCTGCAGCTGGCGCATCACGCGAGTGCGCAAGCGCGTCCCCCCATCCCACATTTTTGTTGAATGCTCAGTTCCCAGTGGAATAAGCGCCATGGAAGGGGTCCCCTCCGAACATCTCTTGAACACTCGGATCTTCATTGACCGGGCCTTCCATTCTGCGACCTTTGGGAGGTTCCGCGGAAGATCCGGCGTGTTTCCGGTCCATTTGCCGCTGGCCAAAGGTTGGCTTAGCTCCAAAAGAAACGCGAGATCACTTGGCGGCCGGACCATGGGCGTATCATGGCTTATCAGTCCAAATTCAAAGACCCCCTGCGCTCAAGCTCAATTGAGCCCCCCTGCTTTATCCCAGATTTGCTCCTCAACATGGAGGATATGGGTCGCGCAACGGGGACCAAAGGAAAACCGACTCTCAAATTGTCCACCCACAAGCTTTCACATCCTTTAAGAACAGACCACAATTATCAGAGTGCGTTTTCTGAGAGCACCTATGCTTTTAACGGCTGGTTCACACAGGGGCAAAAATGAGCAGGGACACCGCCGCCATTTCAAGGAGCCCCATTTAGGGAACCCGACGCCATGTGCTTTACCTTGCCATTCCAAGGGGCCATGAGCCGGAGTGCTCCTTGCAGCCGTTGCTATCTTGCCCTTACAAGAGGCGGAGCGCCGAGATCGCCGAGGCCATGTAGACCTGCATGCACCCCTGAACTGTGGGCTAGATCAAACACGAAGGCCATAGAAATCACGAAGGGTTGCTTGAAGCATTTGTTAAGCCCACCCACCCAACAACAAAACACGTAGGTGTCGTTGAACCATGGCTGTTGCACAACCAAAGTCAAACGTTCACATAAAGAGTCCCTTTGCAAGGATGGTGCCTTGCTGTCCATCCCAGCTGCAATTGCAGAGTGTCAACGAGGGATCCCTGTAGAAAGGCCCAGGGGCGTGACGCGTGGATGGACCAGCCTACTGTCAAGATGAGATAGCTTATCTGGCGCAACGCAAGGTAGCTTGACTCCACCGATATCTCCACCGTGGTCCATGCTTTTGCGTTTGCCTTACCGGAGGGTCATCCCAAGCCAACTGAAGACGACGTGAGACGCATACTGTGTTGCTGCTCTTTGGACTCTGGAAGCCCAAACGTTGGTGGGGCCCAGCAGTTTGGATGAACATCAAATAAGCCCAGGTGACATCCCCTGAAAGCCACCCCAAAGCCTCTCTGGGCTGTTGAAAAAGAAAATCAACAAGCCATCCGCGGTTCCGGAAATCAAGCAACTCAAACCTCAGCAAGTCCCAAATCTGGACACTCTTTGACCCCCTCCCCAACCCCGGCCTTCGTCTCGGACAGCGTTGTGCTCTCGAAGTCCGAGTGTTGGGAGTCGATGTACGTCTCCGCGCTGACGGAGCAGGATCAGACTCATTGCGAGTGGGTTTCTGAAGGCACCTCGCAAGCCTTGCAAGCCTTGCCGATCGAGGCGTTTAGGCCCAAAATGCCTGCGGGGCATGCGAGTACGAATCTCCAGTATGGGCCCTCTGTTAGACATCATTTGCATGAATCATGGAGATTCACGCCCACCCGCCATGTTTTGAAGGGTTCCTTACTGAAACTCATAGCCATTTTGCGAAAATGATCGAGGGAGGTGTTGGCTGATATCACTGATATCTTTGAAGCATACGGCCAGATCAAATCATCTGAAAGGGCCCCTCATCAGTTTATCAAGACTTGCCAACCACGTGATGGTCAAAGACAATACGCATCGCGGCCGCCTCAAAGGGAAACCAGGGAAACCTGGCTTGGAAGATATAGTATTGGCATCGGATCCTTGGCCATGGTCAAGCTATGTTTATGAAGCAGTGACACGGTCAGTGAAAGAAATGGGAATCCGTAAGCTTGCTGTTGCAACTTTTGAGGTGGGATGGGTGGCGAAGTACCTACGCACAAGGTCGCTCGCATTGCTTGACCACACCGACACCTCCTGCTGGTGGAGAGCAACAAGTGTGTGTAGGCGAGTTTGAAACACAGGAACGAATCATTAGGGACCCCCCCCCCCTCAGAGGCGAATTTCCTGTTTGCATGAAACCGGCACAATAGATCAGAGAATGGAACTGTCCAAGTCTTTTCTACTTGTATTGTGCGCCTGATGGCTTGGCCCATCAAGCCTTCATTGGTCGCCGTTGAACATTGAACAGGGTTGACCGCCCGATTGAACCAATCAGGTTGCCTAAGGCAGACTCTAAGGTACTTTGGTCCTTTTGAATCAACAGGCACAAAGACCGCGTGTCTGGCAAATACTGATACTCGTTTGAGACTACTTTCGTATCATCAGGGCATCGTGTTGGGTGACGTGGAGTGCAACAGAATGGTGTTCCACTCGTTCTGTGGCATCCTACAATGCAAGCCACTGTGCCTGCTGGGCACTGCGTGCTACAATCAACTGGCACTCACCGATCTGACAGCCTGCTTCATGCTTAGAGCCAAGGACTTTTCTGCGATGCGCATGCGCTTTCATAAGGCTTTCGGCTTTAGCCAAAGATGCGGCTCATTAATGGCCTTGGCAAGTCGGGTCAAACCTACAAGCACCCCGGATGGCAGAAAGACATGATGACCCATCCGCAAAGAACGTGCAACCTTTCCTGCTGGGATGGACATGGTTGGACTGCTGGACACAGGCAGCAAAATACTCACCCATTTCCAGATGTCACGCTCCTTGCGCCCCTGCTCTTTCCACGGCACGCCCCACTGAACTGCAAAGACCTGCACCTTTGGAGGTCAGCTAAGCAGGCTGGTCCAGCCAGTGTTTGAGCACATGTTCCACTTTACCGTGACAAACAAACATGGCCGTGCTACCACCGACCTCACAATAAACTTCAGAAGTTTCTGACAAGGCATCATGGGTGAATAGCTCAAACCGACTCACCGCATCAGCTCAGGCACCCTTCTGAAAGAACTTGTGAGCCAATGCTGCCTCCGGCGTTGGCCTTGTCGAGGAGTCAGCTTGCAAGCCTCAGCTTCTGCTACATGATCTGCGACAAGCCTCTTACTCAACATTTATCTGTGGGTAAAGTCGCCGCAAAATAAATCAACATCCGTTTCTTTCCTGCCGAGCAAAAACAGTCTCAACAAATGGGCTTCACTACTATTGAGAGCTTACCCTCCCATTGAGGAAGCTTCGGCTGTGCCGACCCTCACTGCAGGCTACAACAAGCAAAACGATCTGCGCTTCTGCGGGAATTCTAGCATTTCGAGGCTGCGTGTTTGTTTGTTTGCTTGCTTGCTTGTTTGTTTGTTCCCATCTTGTCGCATTGTTCTCCTTGTTTTGACTTGTTGTTCGCTTGCGTTGGACGAAAGCCGTGGTCAACTCTTGTAACCTGCTGATACTCCGGCATGCGTTCGTATATTTGTTTCTCCCAATGGGTTTGCAGTGCTCTGGCGCCGCTTGGGAGTTCCAGCTCAAACATCACCACTGTTCACTACGATTCACAAAGCACACCTTGGCCGCTTCTGCTCAAAAGTCACAACTTGTCAAAGCAAGCAATCACAAAGGCAGGCGGGCTCCAGAGTGAGTGCTCTTGCAAGTCAAGTAGGTCAACAAAAAACAACCCATACCTGTAGTTGTGCAAGGGCCCGTCCCTTAACTCGCTGCAAACCGATGGGGGAATCCCATAGAAGCCTATCACGTCCAAGTTGTTGTCGCATGCCAAGTTGCAGTGCTCCAGGAGGCCGGCCAGGTGTGCCACCATGCCTCCCAGGAACAAGAGGGCCGAAGGGTCCAGAGTCCAACGGGTTTGGGGCACATCAGTCACGGTATTCGCCTGCAAAGTCTCATGGAGCCCTGAAAAGGGCTCCCCACCGTGTTGGTTAAGCTCATGTTAACTTACGACAAAGTCAAGCTCCACTGTGCGTCATCCCACACAAGAACGGCATGAAGTACAGGGCGTCATAGGGATGGTTGATGCACTCAAACAGGGAACCCCTGAACTTGACTCGAGCTCAGGTCACTTTTACCGGCGGCAAGTTGTGGCACTTAGCCCAACGAAGCCGTGGCCTTGGTGCCGGCTCTCCGGGACGCCCTTGGGGGGCGTCTTGAGTGCCTCCTGGCCGTGAATGGCTGGATGCCCAAAACCTGATGACTGGTGGCTCAACATCGGAACTGTACCATTTGCCAACCGAGTTTGGGTCCTCCAGCAGGAATGGCAGGGGCCGAGAGGGTGGATCAAAGGACGCCAGCGGCCGCACCTCACAGCCCCTGCGTTTCATGGCCTGGGGGGTCCAACGATGCATGAATGCACGCCAAGGCGCGCGTGGGTTCAATGAATCGATGGCCACGTTGCCTGCCGTGTGCCCGCGGCTGCACATCGAGCTACCAGATTGAACGGCCGGAAATCAGCGACCCTCTTGCTGGTTGCACCCCAAGGTTTTGGCATCAAGATCTTGCATCCGGGCATTCACTAGCTCAAGGCAAAAAATACTTGCAGCGGTGCCCACATTCACTTTGCAAGAGGCGCCTTTTGCGTTCAAGAAGTCCCCGTTGGCGCCGAAGTGCTTAGAGCAAAAGCTTCCGCAGGTCACCAGGGGCAGCCTTAGATGGCCGTGGCCGTCTCAACTTCTGGGGCCCAACAGCTCCCTCAGGCCTCGCCCGTGCCAGTACGGCTCAATTCAGGAGATACTGGCAGCAAGCCAAGGAGCGGAAAGGGTCCACACACCTTCATCATTTCGTGGAGCATCTCATTGTTTGTCTCACCCTGGCCGGCAACTGCCAAACGTAAGATACGCAAGCGTGTCTGACGGGCAGCGCACGTTCCCTATGCAAGCCGTTGCAAGAGGAGCTTGCCCCCAAGACCTGGGTATTTTGCATTTGGGCGTGTTCCCAAAATGGTGGGTTTCTCTTGGTTTCCCTCTAAAGCCCAAAATAACGGTACCCTCAAACAAAGACGGACCCATTTCACCTGTTGGAAATTACAAGCCCAAGAGCTGGCTCAATGTCAACGAAAACGGATCTGGTGGCCTGAAACAAGACGGCGCTCGTGGCCAGCTCAAAGAGCGTCGCGGCCGCGCTCCACATGTCAATGGGGAAGCTGTAGTCCTGGGTGGCTGGGCCATTGTATCCATTTCCATTCGGCTGTGTTCGCCTGTTCCCCCCAGGGTGCGACCCAAAGCGACACCACCACCGGCGGCGTGACAAAGTCTCTGAGGCGCCCGCAGCCCGCCACAGGCAACACGCACACTCCCAAACAAGTGTGACACATTGAGCCCGCCCCCGACCAGCAAGGACCACCGGACCCAGACAGAGCTGACCCTGAGCTCCAAGACAGTCCACACCACTCGGCTGAATAGTTGTGACAGATCCAGACGGTGGCACCCACCAGCACCAACCCAGACATTTCTGACAGAAGACCAGGTTGCCGATGACATGCAAAAGTGGAGTCCTTTGAAAAATAGTGTTTTGGCTAATGACCGAGGAATCAACAAAAACTGGCCAGCAGCTAGAGCTTGAAGCTGAGTAGCTTGTGGCTTGATTGCGCCCTCGCGGGTCTCAACACATAATGGCTGACAAGCAGCACCTTGCAAGCCACCCACACACTTCCTCCACTTCTCTTTGGCTGCGCGGGGGAATTATCATCTCAAACGTTCAGCAATTCACCCAATTTACTTGGCATGCCAAGACGCCAGTCCGAGGATAATCTCCTGAGCGTCAAGACGTCGTCAAGACTCCGCGCTCTGCAACTAGGCCCCTCATTTCTGCGCCCAGGAAGAATGCCTCTGTGCGGTTGGAACAATGCACATGTCACTATTGAAAAGAACAGAGTTCAATAATCGCTACAGTGCCTGTATGGGGACCTTCCAGCGAATGGACAGCCATTGAGAATTCCGCAGCGAGGGCAAATCCAAGTGGCTGGAGCACGGTAGTTCCGTGGCATGAGCTGATCCTCGGGAGCCCGATCGGCATCCAGCGAATCTCCCCAAAGCCAGAAAGCGGCACAAGATGGCACAGGCAAAATCCGCGATTGAAGTAAGTTATGACCAACTGATGCAGCCTGGCTAGCATAAGAGGGGTATCAACAAGTAAGTAGTCAAACTGTTATTAATAAAAGGCTGCCCCTTTCGCACCACAAAGGACCCGGCGATTTCCTGGTGGCCCCTTGCGTGCGCATGCCCAGTGCGGCCCGACTCACACTCCAGCCATGCTTGCAAAGGGCGAAGCCTGGACGTCAGCGCAGGTGTAGACCCCAATTATCATGCAAATATTTCTTACAGCACGCTCCAAGTGATCCCGCCCTCAGGACTGTGAACAGCGTTATATA